TGTCAGTCAGTCAGTCAGTCAGTCACCTTTGAATTTTATATATATAGATTAACCTTCATCCAAGCAAACTTCATTAATCAAAACGCGTATAACATTACCGAAAAAAGTCCTTAGTTCCCAAATTTTACATAGCAAGTCGTAGATTTTTGTTCAGCAATTTCGCCGCAACGTGATTAATAACTTTCGTAGTGACGAAGCGCTATGTGGATTTTTCAATCGAAGTTAGCTCGCGCTCTAAGCCCAGCGCAAAAACGTGACATTAAAATATGCAGGAGGCCGCTACACTGGCATTCTATCGATCGAAAAAAACCCTGGCCACTGTTACCCTCCCGAAACTTTTATACACCAAATTTTTAAAACCCAGTCTCTAGTGTCTGAAAAGTTTCAGCCTATTTAGTGGCGTTATGTATTACTAATGTACTCCAGACATTCTCAATTGTGCGAACTTCCAACTTTCAAAGTTGTCCATTTAATTTTAATGACACTAAACTTTACACTTTGGCACCCTTTTATATGAAAAATAAGAATATTTTTATTTTTTAACCTTGTCTGTCTAGCACTTGCTAGATCAAGTGTACGAACTTTCTTTTTATGTCTAATAAAGTGTCACATCACTATCATTTATTCTGAAGTTGCAGAATTTATATTTAATGCGTCGTCTTAAGCGTACCACTTAAGAAAAGTATTTACCGAGTGTCTGCATAAAAGCATAGTCGTTATAATGCAGCATAATACACATATTTTATACAAGATACCGCACAATAACGCTAACCAATCTCAACTATGAAATATTAAAAAACAAAACACCAAACGTCACAACTTGCGACACTTGTTACAATTTGTACCAGGTTTCAACTAAGCGTTCCTTTAAGTCGCAGAGAGTACTACATACGTAATGTGCACATAGCGGTTGTACGATACGAAGGCAAAAGTATGCAGCATGCATTAGAAGGCGCTGCGACGCGGTGTAAAGCGCTGCCGTATATATTAGTCGGTAAGATTAAGTTCAGACGACGAGCGCTTTATAGACAAGTTACATTTGTCAATAAAACTTGCAGCTATGCACGTCTTATGAACTGTTTTAAGTGAGTTATATTCTCTTCCATGTTCTACTAGAATCGTTAAGTTAGTGAAGTGGAATGAAAGGATGTCGTACATCCGTAAGGCAGGGTTGTGAGTCGTCTCTTAATGAGAGTCGTAAATGTCTTATAAGTTGAATCCTACATTCGTTAGTAGATAACTTTGTCTGTATTTCTATTTTAAGGGGATTCTATTCAAATTGATGCAAGAAATGTTGTATTAATATTTATAATAAAATTTTAATGGTAAACCCTACCTGGCTGCCTAAGTGTACCGACTGCCATAAGTGCGACTGCTGAATAAGGGGTCTCGGGTTCGATTCCCCGGTTGGCCAAAATATTAGTGGGTTTTTTTAAAAATTGTTAGTAGTAGCATGGAGTCTTGAATTATGCCCGGCAATAGGCTCACCTCCTATTACATGGGACTCATAACAAAAATAGTGAAAAGTGGATATTACATTGTACAGTGGCATTAAGTGCCGTAATGTGCACCTCAGCCTACCCCTTCGGGGATAAAAAGAGTGATGTTAAGTTATGGTACCTTCTCTGTTAGTAACGGTATTGAATAGAACGCTTCGATTGCTAGAGTTGAACCCCGGTATAAAAATAGGGCTATCGAATTTCCCAGACTGTTGGTTCAGGAGATTAGCACGCTCACCTACACAAACTCTTCAGTTTATCATTATTTATTCGTCGGTGGTACGCAAATAACTAATATTATCCTAAAGACTGTTTACATAACATAACATCACGCTTTTTATCTCCGTAGGGGTAGGCAGAGGTGTACATTATACCACTGTACAATGTAAAACAATGTAAAAGCCACTTTTCACTTTTCACTATAGACTGCACGGTTGGTGCGTGGCTGGGCAACCGGCTGCCATGCAACGTGTCGCGGGTTCGGTTCCCGCACGGAACAACACTTTGTGTGATCCACAAATTGTTGTTTCGGGTCTGGGTGTCATGTGTATGTGAACTTGTATGTTTGTAAACGCACCTACGACACAGGAGATAATCATAGTGTGGGGCAACGTTTTTTAAAAAACAAAATGTTAAGAGTCCCATGTAATAGGGGATGAGCCTATTGCCATATACCGGGCACAATTTCAGACTCCGTCCTACTACTATTACTACTTAAAGACTGTTCTTCTCTTTTACTATCTTCCTACAAAAATAATTTCACTCCAAATCTCATTTTCACAAGAGACCCGCCATGTTGTTTTAAAAATAGATTCTTTGTAGACTATCGGCTTTGTGTTGAGCACTTGTAATCTGAACTAAGCCTTAAGGTGGAAGCACTCTTGTGACAGCATGACACTGTTGCTGCGCTACGCCAACATTGTCTTCCATAATCCGATTTTATTATCAGACAAACTAACTTTATGTAATAAATAAGATGAACATAATGAATTATCGTTTTCGATAGTAATTCTCGATTTCCAAAGGGATGGACAAAAGTTGGCCATCAATATTGCATTAACTTTTTCTATGTAATGTAATGAGTTCTATGTAATAGGGTGTGAACCTACTGTCATACAATGCACTTAATTGTGGAATCTGAGATTTTTAAAAATACGGAAATTACTTAAACATTTTGCCCTAATCGGCAATTGAATCTGAAATGTCATCATGCATAAATATATTCGCCAACTAGACAAGTTACAGTTTTATTCATGAATCGATTTTATAACAAAAACAAACAATATATCATTACGTATTAATGAAATTATAATTTTGTGTTACATAACCCACACACTGACACTGAAAGAGGAGTAAAAATAACGTGTAAAACATTTACTCATTCTGGAATTGAATTTGCTTTTACATTTCTCGTATTATTTTGATCCCACATTATCCCTTTTGAGTGCAAATTATAATGTTTTCAACGTCACGTCTTTGCCGTATTTTTGTACCAATCCATCATTTCACGGTATTTACTCTCTTTTGATGTATTTTTCGTTTTCATTTCGCGTACTTATGCCTATAATGATACTTTTTTATTTTGAGAAAATAACAAATTATATTCTCACTCTCTCACACTTAAGGTCTTTTGTTGAGACAACACAATTTATTTTTATATTTTTAAACAAATGTGTCTGGGATTTCAACACATTTTTTATTTACATACTTACTTTAACACAATTATATTCAAGGTATATGTCACCTAGTAAGACCTATTATAGGACCTAAATAAAGTACTGTAAATTAAAATATAAATACTGAACGATAATATAATTTAGTAAAACAATATTTTCAAACATGTAGTTACAGTTTTAAAAATATTAAACAATATACATCCTTAACTAATACAGATTAAAAACAAAACATTTTACAAATAAAACCAACAATAATACAAAAAAAATTGCTTTTTACAACCAACGGAATATTTATTATAGAATAAGCCTGTAATCAAGCAGATGAATCACCTGATGGTAAGCAATCGACGCCGCCCATGAACTTTTTGAAACACCAGAGGCGTTACAAGTGCGTTACTGGTCTTTTTTTGAGGATCGTTGGGTATTGGATAGATTTTGGGATGAGGTAATTGGGCCATAATTTAGGTATCTAAGTCAAATCATAAGAAACCTTAGAATAGACTTATTACAAAAGATATGGTCATTGTAGCTCATAAACGCGAATCATTACGTACAAACGCTGGAATAATTCACTACTCAATTTGAAATAATATCCGCCAATAAGCAGCTAGCAGACAATACATTAAGCTCAGCATTACCAATATAAAAGGGCCATTGAAAGTGCGGAAGGAGCATCTAAAGCAAGACCATGATAAAATGGTTTGTATAGCTTGATGAGTATATACATAAACTAACAATGGCTCTATTATATCACTGTAATTTCATACTTGATTACTTTATTAATTTTGTTGTATTATGTTTTTGTTCAAAGAGTTAGGTAGATGTTTAACAAATTATCGTTGTTTACGTAATACGTGCCAACCTAGTTCCACACTTAGCTTCCGAATGAAAAGTTAAAAAACATATTGATGCCAAATAATTTTCTTAAATAACTCTCATATTTGACAGCCAAAGCCAGAAAATGCTATATTAAAAAAAAATACTGGCAGTAAAAATAAACATTTTTTTTTAATCGCCTTATATTTTGTGACAGAACCACACACAGGGTCTTATCACAAGACGTGTAATTAAAAAAAAGAACTTTTTGAATTTGGAAAATGCGCGCTCGGCGCCAAATTATAAAGTTAGTAACAAAGCCAAGTTGTAGCGGTCGCCATAGATATAAACTTGAACAACATTAACCGCCCGGAAGTTCTTCACTATTTAGCATATAGAATGGCCCGCCGGTGTTATTTTTCCACCACAGAACTTTAAAATGCTAATAACAACGTATGCACGGCGGCTTCCTTGATGTTACTCTCTAATTTTACTCTTTTACGAGGTCGCAACATGTGATGGGGTTTTTAAAATAGTTTTTAATTCAATTTTCTTGGAACACTCGTGTTAGTGTAACGTAGAATTGATTTTGTGGACGTAGTGTTTTGTTAGAACTAATTAATTTAAAATAAAATGTACAACAAAATTGGATAGACTAGAGAAAATATTTGAAACAAGCAATTGAATAGTATGGATATAAAATGTAGGATGTAGTACTCTCATACAGAATAGATACGGACATTAACTTTCATTTTAAAATTCCCAGCCGAATACTTTCTGAACATTTCACTGTAGGTGCGATCTTTAAATTCAATTCACCAATAGACACCTTGTACTGATACCGATTTACATCGTTCTCACTGTTGGCAATTTTCTACAGCATTCCACTTTTATGGGCAACTCCATACATTTAGGATAACTGTTTCATAAAACGCTTTGATACCTACAAATAGGTATCTACAAAGTAAACTGAGTTTTATTTAAATACACTCACACACTATTTTCGTGTTCACTTATACTTTGTTTTCACTGCACGACCGTGCGACGATGACTCTTCTTTCTCTAACAACTCTTCGTCGATAAGAAGGTCAAAATTACCAAGAGCTTCAGCATTCGGTATTTTGTTCCATCGTACGTCCGGTACACCGTCAGGAGGCAACACAACAGATAAGATGTTATCTATCAACTTGTATTTCAATATCCTGTCGTTAACAGTTGTTGATGTAAGTGAAGGAGACGCGTTCACTTCAACTAACCACGGCTTCAATTGATTGTCAATTATAATGTCATAGCCATAACACTCAAAACAATGTCTATCATTCGCCATCACAGAGGAAACAGCCTTCAAAGAATGCACTATCAACCATTGCATCGCCGCAAACAATTTCTCAGTGACCGCTCTGCCTTGCGTTCCCTCTAAATACAAGCGTAGATTCTGCACCGTCATCTTCCCTCCATGTATATTATTATAATCGCCGCCATGTTTCTGCACACTGACGTTAGTTAGATGTACGTACATATTATCTAACTCCGTAACACTGGTGTCGTACTTCACCGTACAAAACCTACAAAAGCCGAGTTGGAAAAGATAAGCCTTCAGAGGTCGGAAAGAAGTAACCAACACGTAAAGTCTCAGGTCAAACTTTTTGCCCCCTATTAGTAAGGGATTGTCTATGTAACGCGATATAACGTAACTTTCTTTACTTAATTGTGGGTGGAACGGCGTTTTAGCTTCACGCGACCATTTCTTCAATTTAGATAGCTTGTTTATGAGAAAAATTCCCGTTCCCTGAGATTTTCCACACGGCTTCATGATCCAGGTGCTTTGCGGTGATTTACGATATTCCTCGACAAACATGTTGTAGTCGGCGGGCAGCACAAACGTAACAGGTACGAAGTCTAGATGAACGTACCGAGTTACCACTTGACCTCCGTGCATGGCGACCTCGGCTTTCTCAGCCAAAGGATTGCCTTCCCTTTCGAGCTCTTTTCTGTATCGCTTTATATTTTTCACAAGCAAGTCTTTGCGCGACAGTTCGTAGTGGTTTGGGAAGTGATTTATTATTTGGTTGTCATTCATCCGGTATCCGCTCTCAACGCTGAACAAGTTCCGGCACGTCTGCGTAGAGGCCCAGTAGAAGTTCCATTCATCGTCGGGTCCAACTTGGTTCCATGCCCGCCTCTCGAAGTTGCTCATCAAAACTGACTTTTCTAAGTCTGTGCAAAAGTTAACTCGACATCTTTCGACAGGCGGCGCGTTTACTCTTCCGTAGAGGCTGTTCGCGATTTTCTTAGCGTCTTGGTTCATCGTTATGTGTTTTCGTGTTTATTCAGAATGTTTGTTGTACATATTGACCAAATATTGGAATCGCAGGTGCGTATCTACGGTTGTCATGGCTTTCAACAAATATCCCTTGCTATTGGCTGACATCCAAAACGGCTCGTTTCGCTATGACTACGTGTAAACATTGCCGCTACGTATTGATTTTTAACGAGTTTTTCGACGCCGGCACGCGGACTTACGTGCAACTTTCGTATCGTGAGAAAATAAAGGCGATTTCTGATATTAGGAAAAGAGATCCCTGCGTAGTAATAATCCGAGTTTTGTATTATGAGCAAGGGTTTTCCTACCTCTAGTTTAACTTCCGCGATTGTGTCGAAGGTTATTTGCAGTAACAATAATTGCGTATATAGGAACAAAGTGGCTTCGTTTTATAATTAATGTTTGTATTAAAAGGTTACGAACTTCAGAGTGAAATCACGCGAGGTAATATAAATAAGGTGTTTTGGTTACAAACGGAGCTAATTATCAAGTGTAATACGTAACTGGGTAGGAATGCTCACACTAAGCTTAACGATCGTAAAAGACGTGTCGTGTAAGCACTTTCCGTGTTAATATTGTTTAGACGTTTTACGACAGCCGTCGCTCATAATGCCAAATTGAGCCACGAAACAAGCGGTACTTATTTAAGTTTTGCCTACAAGCGTTTTTTTTTTTAAGGGGAAAAATCATCGAATGACTGCTCCCGCCTGGGTGAGGCGGAAGGGAGTGTCAGACTCTTACTGACTAAAAACCACCCCGTTCCTTCTCCTGCACGTCGAGCCGGAGCCCCGGTTACCCGTTAGGTTCTCCGCGACTCCGAATCGGCATCGGCCCTATTGAGCCCCATCTGTGGTGGTCTGATGGCTCTTTGAGGCGCGCGCGGAACGCGACGCGCCGTACGCTCGGGTCTGTTTCTGGTCGGACGGGGAGCCACCCATGCTCGCCGTCCGCAGGCCCGCGACAAGCGTATTGCTATCTGCTATGATTATTATTCTCTCGACTCTAAGATTATTATTATGACAACGCTATTATTTAAACTACACACAGAAAACACTACGATAAACGTTAGATAAGTTACACAAGACAAGTCTTGCTGAAGCTAAACTTGATCAATAATAACTACAAAACATCTTTCAACAGTATTGGCCAAGCCAACAAAAATGTCATGTGTTACAGAAATAATAAAAGAACTTGTAATACCAATCGCTTGTTTCCTGTCCAAACATTTGGTTGGTAATAAAATACTCATTTCTAACTCTCACATACGGCATGATTTAATAAATGTTTATTCCTTTCCGTACGGTTTTCCCTCTTGGAAATACCAAGGAATTATTCTTGGTATGTAAACTTTTTATGAAATAAATTCGCATATTAACATAGGGTTGTTTGTCAGGATTATATTTGCGAAGGTAATTTTAAAATCGTAGCTGTATTGGTATTGGTACCTGATTTTTGTGAAAATCTCCAACTTTTTATGGGTACTCAAGTTCAGTTTTGCACTGAATGTGGAACTGTACTTTGTGATTCGCAGTGATCGCCTTCTCTAATACACAATGAGATTAATAAGATAATAATAAAATTAGACAAAGTGTGCAAGATATTTTTATCTAATAATTTTACAAATATTTTTTCATCATATTTTTAACTTTCATAACTCTAAATGTTACACATTATTTTGACATTGTTAATGTAGATATTGGTTTAACAATTACATTAGTTATAGATTACTAAACATTTGTCAAACAGTGCAGTAACAGACGGGACATTTTCAAATTTAATATTCATTTAAGTGTAATAGTTTATATTTGCAACATAATTAGTTTAGAAATTATGTCAGTCATAACTATGAACTACAATGATTGGTAGGAGTAATTTTGATTTAGAGGTTCGTCGCACCTTTTGTTAAGATGTAATATAATAAAAACTAAGTGTTATAATTAAGTGTAATTAAGTGTGGGAGAGCCATGCTTCGGCACGAATGGGCCGGCTCGGCCTCACAGAAAACCGAAGTGAAACAACGCTTGCGTTGTGTTTCGTCATGTGAGTGAGGTTACCGGAGACCCAATTATAAGTTTATGTAATGATCTTACATCGAACACAATTCCAGATATTACTAGTTAGTAATTTTCTTAAAACCGTTAACATTTTACTCTACCTAAAATCGAAGCCGAGATCCCTTGGGACTAAACATCACTGAGAATTTGCAAAATTTTTTTTACTTACATATCCACACGCCTGTTTCCCATGGGGGTAACCCCAATTTTGAGGAGAAAAAATCAGCCAATGACTTCTCAAACATAGGATGAGATGAGAGGGAGTGTCAGACTCTTACCGACTAAACACTACCCCGGCAACCTGTCAAGCCGTCTTCCGTGGCTCCAAAGCTTTTTTAACACTTTCGACCACTGAGCCAACAAGGAAGATATATATGTGTATGTAAACATAAACATATACAGTGTAGTTATCATTAAACGTATTAATGAATGTTATTAATAGTTAATCCTGCGCGCGAAGGTACTAATTACATGATACGGATAATTAATTATGAAACATTATCTCCAGATTAATATCAACCATCTGTCATTATGTAAACACTGATCGTGTCCTATAACTAGACCGGTTGTAATTAATTTGTAATAATTAATAATATATTAGTATTAACGGGAATGAGATAATTCTTTTCTAAACTATGTTTAAACTGTCAAACACCAAGCGGTCACCGGTGACCGCGACCTATTGTTCTTTAATTGTGTCTATAAAACCGGTACTCGACGAGTTAAAAAAGTGACTTAAACCCCCTCTTTTTAAAGTCAGTTAAGTAATATAGGTACTAAAACCTTCTCCTAAGTGTAACAAACCTTTTTTTGAAAACCGCAACAAAATCGGTTCCGCTTATTGCGAGATAATCGCGCACAAACGTATGTAGAGGTACATTCATACATACCTACATACATACATACTAATATACATATAAGTCAAACTAAGAACCTTCGTTTTTTTTGAAGTCGGTTAAAAACAATCTCCCATCGATTTTCCAACAGTGGAGATTTTGATAAATCCTCATGCAGAGGCTCCAGGTAGTAAGCTGGCACTAACTTTTAATATTGTTGAGATATAAAACAACTCTAAAATGGTTGCCAATTTTACACTGCATCTGTGAAGCTAAATGTGGATACACCAATGCAGCAAGAACGCAACAAAGCGGCGTAGTAGAATCAAAACCGCAACTTGTGTCGAAGTCGTAGCTAGGTAATCAGGCTCTGAGCTAATCTATCCAATCAAGTACTTACGTTGCTTGTCTAATCATTCCGACAGTGTTTATGAGTGTTTAGGGACTAGTACTATTGCAGTACAACAGCAGTGTTTGAAAATTCGAAAGGTGTCATGGCTCTTATGTTTTTTAAATTATTGTATTGTATTAAATTGTGTATTGTAAATGTACTCAAATACTGAGCTACAGTGAATTTATTTATTGTTTGTTTTTTGTTCATTAAACATTTTGCGTTTGTATCAAATCTTATTCTTGAAAGCTAGACGGTATCCCACTTCACAATACTGATGCCGGAATACTGAAACGTTACTCAATTTTAAGTCGTGCTCAAATATCGTGCCATCTCTGTCATTTTACAAAGAATTTGTAGAGATAGAACTATACTTAAGCACAACTTAAAATTGAGTAGCGTTTCAGTATTCCGACATTAAGTACATACCTCACGAGTAAATATTACTTAATAATTGTAAAAACTAACATGATAATATTAAAACACGTGGCAGGAAAATAGCAACGTTAAATTCTAAGCCTGTAACTGAAGTTTTCGTAAAAAAAATATATTTGTTGAACCTAAAATAAAGGCTGAAACTTTACGAAAACAAATAACGTTATTCATCATTTCATTTTCTATTTTTCGTTACGACCTACGTGAACTGAATTTTATGATCTAAAAATGAGTAGAATTTTGATTACTTTCAAGGAAATAATAAAAACTGGAGTTTTTAATAAAGTGTGACTTAACGTTTTGTTATTTCGAAATAAAGGATTTTTTTATTAGCCTTTTGTTTACGGAGTTTCGTTTGCTTTGTTACGTAGGAAATGTTGATACACTTTTATTTGATGTTTTTTTTAATTAAGTTTGTAGGTATTGTTCTTTCATAGTGTAGTTTGTCAAAAGTACGAAGACGTGTGCTATAAGTTCTCAGGAACGCGAAATTATTAGATTTTGTAATTTTATTATAACTGAAATATTTGACTGACCAACTGCTTCGTTGGCCGAGAGGTCGCAAGTGCGACTGCCGGGCAAGGGGTCTCGGGTCGGGCAAAGTATTACTGGGTTTTAAAAAAATTCTCAGTAGTAGCACGGAGTCTGGGATTGTGCCCGGTATATGGCAATAGGCTCACCCCCTATTACATGGGACTCATAACATAAATAGTGAAAAGTGAGTGTTACATTGTACAGTGCCATAATGTGCACCTCTGCCTACCCCTTCGGGGATAAAAGGCGTGATGTTATGTATGTATGTATGTATGAAATATTTGATGACGACACCAAAACTTTATGTGAATTGCTTATGGTTTTAGAAAAGAGACGTGATGACACATATAACGATGAAGCATAATTTCTAGTAGTTTATTTTACTTGACAATGTACACCCAAGGTAAGTCAAGCATATACATATATTTTACTGGTTCTCAGTCGTAATACAGAAAACAGAAAGCAGTATTTTTAAAACAATTGCACCGTTGCCCATTCGTATATTTTATTCATAAGTGACTTTTATGTTCATCCAATACACTAGACGTACATAAATATAGAAGTGAACAGCAAAATAATTAAAATTTATTTTCACTGCAGGAAATAAAATATTAAAACAATTTTCCGAAAAGCTCTTTACTGATTTAATTCTTTGTGTAAACCTACTTATGAATAATGTCGGGATTACGTTCATTATCGGACTGTTTCGTTTATCTAGTGATATCGATGAACATA